GGCCGCTGTGCAGCGTGTTGGTGTCGCGCTTTGGATGCCGCCCGGTGATGATTGGTGGAGGCCTTCTGGCGGCAGCTGGCATGGTGGGGGCCTCGTTCAGCACCTCCATCATTCACGTGTACCTCCTGGCTGGGGTCACCACGGGTCAGTGGGTCAGTCGGTCAGTCGGTCAGTCAGTCAGTGAGTCAGTGAGTCAGTCAGTCAGTCAGTGAGTCAGTCAGTGAGTCAGTCGGTCAGTCAGTGAGTCAGTCAGTCGGTCAGTCAGTGAGTCACTCGTTCAGCACCTCCATCATTCACGTGTACCTCCTGGCTGGGGTCACCACGGGTCAGTGGGTCAGTCGGTCAGTCAGTCGGTCAGTCGGTCAGTCAGTGAGTCAGTCAGTCGGTCAGTGAGTCGGTCAGTGAGTCAGTCAGTCAGTCAGTGAGTCACTCGTTCAGCACCTCCATCATTCACGTGTACCTCCTGGCTGGGGTCACCACGGGTCAGTCGGTCAGTCGGTCAGTCGGTCAGTCAGTCAGCACCTCCATCATTCACGTGTACCTCCTGGCTGGGGTCACCACGGGTCAGTCGGTCAGTCGGTCAGTCGGTCAGTCAGTCAGTCAGTGAGTCAGTCAGTGAGTCACTCGTTCAGCACCTCCATCATTCACGTGTACCTCCTGGCTGGGGTCACCACGGGTCAGTCGGTCAGTCGGTCAGTCGGTCAGTGGGTCAGTCAGTCGGTCAGTCAGTGAGTCAGTCAGTGAGTCAGTCAGTGAGTCAGTCAGTCAGTGAGTCACTCGTTCAGCACCTCCATCATTCACGTGTACCTCCTGGCTGGGGTCACCACGGGTCAGTCGGTCAGTCGGTCAGTCGGTCAGTCAGTCAGTCAGTGGGTCAGTCAGTGAGTCACTCGTTCAGCACCTCCATCATTCACGTGTACCTCCTGGCTGGGGTCACCACGGGTCAGTGGGTCAGTCGGTCAGTCGGTCAGTCAGTGAGTCAGTCAGTCAGTGAGTCACTCGTTCAGCACCTCCATCATTCACGTGTACCTCCTGGCTGGGGTCACCACGGGTCAGTGGGTCAGTCGGTCAGTCGGTCAGTCAGTGAGTCAGTCAGTCAGTGAGTCACTCGTTCAGCACCTCCATCATTCACGTGTACCTCCTGGCTGGGGTCACCACGGGTCAGTCGGTCAGTCGGTCAGTCGGTCAGTCAGTCGGTCAGTCGGTCAGTCAGTGAGTCAGTCAGTCGGTCAGTGAGTCGGTCAGTGAGTCAGTCAGTGAGTCAGTCAGTGAGTTAGTGGGTCAGTCAGTCAGTGAGTGGGTCTGTCGGTGAGTCACTCGTTCAGCACCTCCATCATTCACGTGTACCTCCTGGCTGGGGTCACCACGGGTCAGTCAGTCAGTCGGTCAGTCGGTCAGTCAGTCGGTCAGTCAGTCGGTCAGTCACTCGTTCAGCACCTCCATCATTCACGTGTACCTCCTGGCTGGGGTCACCACGGGTCAGTCAGTCAGTCGGTCAGTCGGTCAGTCAGTCGGTCAGTCAGTCGGTCAGTCACTCGTTCAGCACCTCCATCATTCACGTGTACCTCCTGGCTGGGGTCACCACGGGTCAGTCGGTCAGTCGGTCAGTCGGTCAGTCAGTCAGTCAGTGAGTCAGTCGGTGAGTCACTCGTTCAGCACCTCCATCATTCACGTGTACCTCCTGGCTGGGGTCACCACGGGTCAGTCGGTCAGTCGGTCAGTCGGTCAGTCAGTGAGTTAGTGAGTCAGTGAGTCAGTCAGTGAGTCAGTCAGTCAGTCAGTCAGTCGGTCAGTCAGTCAGTGGGTCAGTCAGTCGGTCAGTCAGTGAGTCACTCGTTCAGCACCTCCATCATTCACGTGTACCTCCTGGCTGGGGTCACCACGGGTCAGTCGGTCAGTCGGTCAGTCAGTCAGTGGGTCAGTCAGTGAGTCAGTCAGTGAGTCAGTCAGTGAGTCAGTCAGTCGGTCAGTCAGTGAGTCACTCGTTCAGCACCTCCATCATTCACGTGTACCTCCTGGCTGGGGTCACCACGGGTCAGTCGGTCAGTCGGTCAGTCGGTCAGTCGGTCAGTCAGTCAGTGAGTCAGTGAGTCAGTCAGTCGGTCAGTCAGTGAGTCAGTCAGTGAGTCAGTCAGTGAGTGGGTCAGTCGGTGAGTCACTCGTTCAGCACCTCCATCATTCACGTGTACCTCCTGGCTGGGGTCACCACGGGTCAGTCGGTCAGTCGGTCAGTCGGTCAGTCAGTGAGTTAGTCAGTGAGTCAGTGAGTGAGTCAGTCGGTCAGTGAGTTAGTCAGTGAGTCAGTCAGTGAGTTAGTGAGTCAGTGGGTCAGTCAGTGAGTGGGTCACTCGTTCAGCACCTCCATCATTCACGTGTACCTCCTGGCTGGGGTCACCACGGGTCAGTCGGTCAGTCGGTCAGTCGGTCAGTCAGTCGGTCAGTCAGTCAGTGAGTTAGTGAGTTAGTGGGTCAGTCAGTCGGTCAGTGAGTCAGTCAGTGAGTCAGTGAGTCACTCGTTCAGCACCTCCATCATTCACGTGTACCTCCTGGCTGGGGTCACCACGGGTCAGTCGGTCAGTCGGTCAGTCGGTCAGTCAGTCAGTTAGTCGGTCGGTCAGTAAGTCAGTGAGTCACTCGGTGAGTCAGTGAGTCACTCGTTCAGCACCTCCATCATTCACGTGTACCGCCTGGCTGGGGTCACCACGGGTCAGTCGGTCAGTCGGTCAGTCGGTCAGTCAGTGAGTCAGTCGGTCAGTCAGTGAGTTAGTGAGTTAGTGGGTCAGTCAGTCGGTCAGTGAGTCAGTCAGTGAGTCAGTGAGTCACTCGTTCAGCACCTCCATCATTCACGTGTACCTCCTGGCTGGGGTCACCACGGGTCAGTCGGTCAGTCGGTCAGTCGGTCAGTCAGTCAGTGAGTCAGTCAGTCAGTCAGTGAGTCAGTCAGTGAGTCAGTCAGTCACTCGGACACGCACCTCCATCATTCACGTGTACCTCCTGGCTGGGGTCACCACGGGTCAGTCGGTCAGTCGGTCAGTGAGTCAGTCGGTCAGTCAGTCGGTCAGTGAGTCAATGAGTCAGTCGGTCGGTCAGTCAGTCAGTCAGTCGGTCAGTCGGTCAGTCGGTCAGTGAGTCGGTCAGTCAGTCGGTCGTCAGTCACTCAGAAAATCACCTCCATCATTCACGTGTACCTCCTGGCTGGGGTCACCACGGGTAAGTCGGTCAGTCGGTCAGTCGGTCAGTCAGTCAGTCGGTCAGTCAGTCGGTCAGTCAGTGAGTCACCCACACAATCACTAAGTCACTCACTCACACACTCAGTCACACACTCAGTCACCTACTCACCCACACAATCACAGTCACTCAGTCAGTCACACACTCAGTCACTCAGTCACCTACTCACCCTTACAATCACTCAGTCACACACTCAGTCAGTCACACACTCAGTCACACACTCAGTCACTCAGTCACCTACTCACCTACACATTCACTCAGTCACCTACTCACCTACACATTCACTCAGTCACCTACTCACCTACACATTCACTCAGCCACTCAGTCAATCAGTCACACACTCAGTCAGTCACACACTCAGTCACTCAGTCACCTACTCAGTCACACACTCAGTCACTCAGTCACACACTCAGTCACACACTCAGTCACTCAGTCACTCAGCCACTCACTCAGTCACTCACTCAGTCACACACTCAGTCAATCAACCAATCAGTCACTCACCCACAAAATCACTCAGTCACTCACTCAGTCACACACTCAGTCACTCAGTCACTCAGTCAGTCACACACTCAGTCACTCAGTCAGTCAATCAACCAATCAGTCACTCAGTCAGTCACTCAGTCACACACTCAGTCACTCACCCACTCAGTCACTCAGTCAGTCACCCACTAAGTCACTCAGTCACCTACTCACCCATACAATCACTCACTCAGTCACTCACTCAGTCACTCACTTAGTCAGTTACACTCCGTCAGTCAGTCACACACTCAATCACTCAGTCAGTCACACTCAGTCACTCACTCAGTAACAAACTCAGTCACACACTCAGTCACTCAGTCACCTACTCACCTACACATTCACTCAGTCACCTACTCACCTACACATTCACTCAGTCACTCAGTCAGTCACACACTCAGTCACTCAGTCAGTCACCCACTAAGTCACTCAGTCACCTACTCACCCATACAATCACTCACTCAGTCACTCACTCAGTCACACACTCAGTCAGTCAGTCACTCAGTCAGTCACTCAGTCAGTCACTCAGTCACTCACCCACACAATCACTCAGTCACTCACTCAGTCACTCACTCAGTCACACACTCAGTCACTCAGTCAGTCACTCAGTCACCTACTTACCAACACAATCACTCAGTCACTCAGTCAGTCACTCAGTCACACACTCAGTCACACTCAGTCACACACTCAGTCGCTCAGTCAGTCACTCAGTCACTCACTCAGTCACACACTCAGTCACTCGGTCACTCAGTCACCTACTCGCCCACACAATCACTCAGTCAGTCACACACTCAGTCACCCACTCACTCACAAACAGTCACTAACTCAGTTATCCACTTACTCTATGCATGTATATGGGTCTCTACGTATCTCGATGGGGGTCTTGATGTACGTGTATGGGTCTCTGTGTGTCTCTATGTATCTCTATGGGTCTCTGTGGGTCTCTATGTATCTCTATGTATCTCTATGTATATATGTATCTCTATGTGTCTCTGTGTGTCTCTGTGTGTCTCTATGTATCTCTATGGGTCTCTATGGGTCTCTATGAGTCTATATGTGTCTCTATGTGTCTCTATGTATCTCTATGGGTCTCTATGTATCTCTATGTATCTCTATGTATCTCTATGTGTGTCTCTATGTATCTCTATGGGTCTCTATGTATCTCTGTGTATCTCTATGTATCTCTATGTATCTCTATGTGTCTCTATGTGTCTCTATGGGTCTCTATGTATCTCTATGTATCTCTGTGTATCTCTATGTATCTCTATGTATCTCTATGTGTCTCTATGTATCTCTAAGGGTCTCTATGTATCTCTATGGGTCTCTATGTGTCTCTATGTATCTCTATGCATCTCTATGCATCTCTATGGGTCTCTATGTGTCTCTATGTATCTCTATGTATCTCTATGTATCTCTATGTGTGTCTCTATGTATCTCTATGGGTCTCTATGTATCTCTATGTATCTCTATGTATCTCTATGTGTCTCTATGTATCTCTATGGGTCTCTATGTATCTCTATGGGTCTCTATGTGTCTCTATGTATCTCTATGTATCTCTATGTATCTCTATGTGTCTCTATGTATCTCTATGGGTCTCTATGTATCTCTATGTATCTCTATGTATCTCTATGTATCTCTATGGGTCTCTATGTATCTCTATGTATCTCTATGGGTCTCTATGTATCTCTATGGGTCTCTATGTATCTCTATGTATCTCTATGTATATATGTATCTCTATGTGTCTCTGTGTGTCTCTGTGTGTCTCTATGTATCTCTATGTATCTCTATGTATCTCTGTGTCTCTATGTATCTCTATGTGTCTCTATGTGTCTCTATGTGTCTCTATGTATCTCTAAGGGTCTCTATGTATCTCTATGTATCTCTATGTATCTCTATGTATCTCTATGGGTCTCTATGTATCTCTATGTATCTCTATGGGTCTCTATGTATCTCTATGGGTCTCTATGTATCTCTATGGGTCTCTATGTGTCTCTGTGTGTCTCTGTGTATCTCTATGTATCTCTATGGGTCTCTATGTATCTCTAAGGGTCTCTATGTATCTCTATGTATCTCTATGTATCTCTATGTGTCTCTATGTGTCTCTGTGTGTAGGCATGTGTCTCTATGTATCTCTATGTATCTCTATGGGTCTCTATGTATCTCTATGGGTCTCTATGTATCTCTATGTATCTCTATGGGTCTCTATGTATCTCTATGGGTCTCTATGTGTCTCTGTGTGTCTCTGTGTATCTCTATGTATCTCTATGGGTCTCTATGTATCTCTAAGGGTCTCTATGTATCTCTATGTATCTCTATGTATCTCTATGGGTCTCTATGTATCTCTATGGGTCTCTATGTATCTCTATGTATCTCTATGTATCTCTATGGGTCTCTATGTGTCTCTATGTATCTCTATGTATCTCTATGTATCTCTATGTATCTCTATGGGTCTCTATGTGTCTCTATGTATCTCTATGTGTCTCTATGTATCTCTATGTGTCTCTGTGTGTAGGCATGTGTCTCTATGTATCTCTATGTATCTCTATGTATCTCTATGGGTCTCTATGTATCTCTATGTGTCTCTATGTATCTTTATGTATCTCTATGTGTCTCGATGTATCTCTATGTATCTCTATGTATCTCTATGAGTCTCTATGGGTCTCTATGTATCTCTATGGGTCTCTATGGGTCTCTATATATCTCTATGTATCTCTATGTATCTCTATGGGTCTCTATGTATCTCTATGTATCTCTATGGGTCTCTATGTATCTCTATGTGTCTCTGTGTTTAGGCATGGGCCTGGCTCTCAACTTCCAGCCGTCACTCATCATGCTGGGTCGCTACTTCAGCAAGAGGCGCCCTCTGGCCAATGGGCTTGCAGCAGCAGGCAGTCCAGTGTTTTTGTGTACCCTCTCTCCTCTCAATCAGGTGGGTGGGTGGTGGTGGTGGTGGGGGGGTGGTGGTGGTGGTGGTGGGGGGGTGGTGGTGGTTGGGGGGGGGGTGGGTGGGTGGGTGGGTGGGTGAGTGGGTGAGTGGGTGAGTGAGTGAGTGGGTGAGTGAGTGAGTAAGTGAGTTAGTGGGTGAGTGAGTGGGTGAGTAAGTGAGTTAGTGGGTGGGTCGGTGGGTGGGTGAGTGGGTGAGTAAGTGAGTTAGTGGGTGAGTGAGTGGGTGGATGGGTGGGTGAGTGAGTGGGTGGGTGGGCGGGTGAGTGAGTGAGTGGGTGAGTGGGTGAGTGGGTGAGTGAGTGGGTGGGTGGGTGAGTGGGTGGGTGGGTGAGTGGGTGGGTGGGTGAGTGGGTGGGTGGGTGAGTGGGTGGGTGGGTGGGTGAGTGAGTGAGTGAGTGGGTGGGTGAGTGGGTGGATGGGTGGGTGAGTGAGTGAGTGGGTGAGTAAGTGAGTTAGTGGGTGAGTAAGTGAGTTAGTGGGTGGATGGGTGGGTGAGTGAGTGGGTGAGTGGGTGAGTGGGTGAGTGGGTGGGTGAGTGGGTGAGTGGGTGAGTAAGTGAGTTAGTGGGTGAGTAAGTGAGTTAGTGGGTGGGTGGGTGGGTGAGTGAGTGGGTGAGTGGGTGAGTGGGTGAGTGGGTGGGTGAGTGGGTGAGTGGGTGGGTAAGTGAGTGGGTGGGTGGGTGGGTGGTTGGGTGCTAGGTCTGTGATGATGATTATGACGATGTTGATGATGATGATGTTGATGATGTTAATGATGATGTTGATGATGATGATGTTGATGATAATGTTGATGATGATGGTGATGTTGATGATGATGGTGATGATGATGGTGATGATGATGATGTTGTTAACGATGTTAATGATGATGATGGTGATGATGATGTTAATGATGATAATGATGTTAATGATGATGTTGATGATGATGTTGATGATAATGTTGATGATGATGGTGATGTTGATGATGATGGTGATGATGATGGTGATGATGATGATGTTGTTAATGATGTTAATGATGATGATGGTGATGATGATGTTAATGATGATAATGATGTTAATGATGTTAATGATGATGTTGATGATGATGTTGATGATGATGTTACAGCTGCTACAGCATCACTTTGGATGGAGAGGGGGCTTCATGGTTTTGGGAGGTCTGCTCCTCAACTGTTGTCTCTGCGGGGCCCTGATGAGGCCCCTTGTCCCACCTCCTGGACAGGCTCAGAAGTTGATGGGTGCCAGTACGAAACATCACCAACATCAACAACAACACCAACATCATCTACAACATCATCAACAACAACAACAACATCATCAACATCATCAACATCAACAACATCAACAACATCAACATCAACTTCATCAACACCAACAACATCAACAACATCACCAACATCAACAACACCAACATCAACATCATCAACAACATCAACATAATCAACAACAACACCAACATCAACAACATCAACAACATCAACAACATCAACAACATCAACATCACCATCATCAACATCAACAACATCACCAACATCAACATCACCAACATCACCAACATCACCAACAACACCAACATCACCAACATCACCAACATCAACAACAACATCACCAACATCACCAACATCACCAATATCACCAACATCACCAACATCGCTATTACCACAAACACCATCACCATCACCAACATCAACAATATCAACAACATCATCAACATCACCACCATCGCTATTAACACAAACACCATCACCATCGTCAACATCACTAACATCAACACCAACATCACCAACACCACCATCGTCAACATCACCACCAACATCAACAACATCACCATAATCGTCAACATCACCAACATCAACATCATCAACATCACCAACAACAACATCACCAACATCACCAACATCACCAACATCAACATCATCACCAACATCACCAACAACAACAACATCAACATCATCAACATCACCAACAACAACATCAACATCATCACCAACATCATCACCAACATCATCAACATCATCAACATCACCAACAACAACATCACCAACATCACCAACATTACCATCATCACCATCATCACCACCATCGCCATTAACACAAACACCATCGTCAACATCATCATCATCATCACCACCATCATCATCACCAACATCACCATCACCGCAAACATCACCCACCACCATCAACACCATCACCACCATCACCACCACCACCACCATCACCACCACCACCACCATCACCATCACCACCACCATCACCACCACCATCACCACCACCATCACCACCACCATCACCACCACCATCACCACCACCATCACCACCACCCCCACCACCACCACCACGGTTACCATCTGCATGAGCACCATCAGGGCCGAGGGATTTCCCCTCCCCCGGGACCTCACAGAAATGTTCAGCAAATCTGCAAACCTGTTCCTGGGGGGTGGAGGGGGGTGGAGGAGATTGGATCGCCCTCAGTACTTCCTCAACAGATGGCACCTCAGCCAGCCACTCACAGGGGGTGACTTCTTCAAATATTTGAGGCACCGCAGCCTCAGCAGGGTCATCCCCACTTTGTGCCACGATGTTTTCCTGGCTGAGGGATTTCCCCTCCCCCGGGACCTCACAGAAATGCTCAGCAAATCTGCGAACCTGTTCCTGGTGGTGGTCGGAGATTGGATCACCGTTTTTTCCCCCCCTAATGATGGTTAATAGGTGAGGCGCTGCAGGTTACTTTTTTGATGGAGTTAAAAATGGGGATTTGTGATCGCGGGCCACTGAGGCAGACTCCATCTCCTCAGCAACCCGCGACCACCACCCATCCTTGCAGCGCCTCACGGCTCTCCGAACCTCCGAGCGAAGGCTGCGGTAAGCCTCCTCATTCTCCGACGTGGAATTCTGTAGCCGATGACAGTGGGCCTGTCGCTTTTTCTCAGCCAGCCTGAACACCTCCTCTGTCAGCCAGGCTCTCTGGGGAGGTCTGGACCACGTACCCAAAGCAGCCATTGCAGCTGCATGAGTCACAGTCCTAAACCTCGCCCATTTACCCTCGACATCAGGAGGAGTCGGGGACGATGCCAATCCCAGCCGCAAGCGACGATGAAATTCTCGCTTGCAACTTTCATCAGATAACTGAGACCAGGCCACTTTATGTTGGAATGGGGTCCTGGGTGTACACCCACCACCGGAGTGGAAGAATGGCAGGCGCATCTTACAGATGACTAGTCGATGGTCAGAGGGCAGATCAGCTCCACGGTAGGTCCTGGTGTCAAGGACATGGGCTCGCATCCGCTGGTCCGTCACTATGTAGTCCAGCAGATGTTCTTGCTTGGACCCGGCATGCGTCCATGATGTTGTGTGGATGCGCCGATGCCGGAACAGCGTGTTGGTAATTACAAGCCCATGGGCTGCACAAAAATCTAGCAGCCTCCTACCGTTGTTATTGAGCTGATCTGGCCCATGCCCTCCAATCGCTCCAGACCAGGTGCCAGCATCATGACCAACTCGGGCATTGAAGTCACCCAACATGATGACTCTATCCCTAGGGGCCACTTTAGCCAGCACCTGTGACAGGAGGTCACAGAAGGCATCTGACTCATATCGGCCTCTCTCCCCGTGTCTCTCTCCCCGTGTCTCTCCCCCCGTGTCTCTCTCCCCGCGTCTCTCTCTCCACCATGTCTCTCTCTCCCGTGTCTCTCTTTCCCGTGTCTCTCTCCCCGTGTCTCTCTCTCCACGTGTCTCCCCCCCGTGTCTCTCTCTCCCCGTCTCTCCCCGTGTCTCTCTCCCGTGTCTCTCTCTCCCCGTGTCTCTCTCTCCTCGTGTCTCCCCCCTGTGTGTCTCTCTCCCGTGTCTCTCTCTCCCCGTGTCTCTCTCTCCTCGTGTCTCCCCGTGTCTCCCCGTGTCTCTCTCTCTCCTGTGTCTCTCTCCCCCCGTGTCTCCACCCGTGTCTCTCTCTCCCCGTCTCTCCCCGTGTCTCCCCGTGTCTCTCTCTCCCCGTGTCTCTCCCCCCCCCCGTGTCTCTCTCCCCCGTGTCTCTCTCTCCCCGTCTCTCCCCGTGTCTCTCTCTCCCCCGTCTCTCTCTCCCGTGTCTCTCTCTCTCTCCCCGTGTCTCCCCCCTGTGTGTCTCTCTCCCGTGTCTCTCTCTCCCCGTGTCTCTCTCTCCCCGTGTCTCCCCGTGTCTCTCTCTCTCCTGTGTCTCTCTCCCCCCGTGTCTCCACCCGTGTCTCTCTCTCCCCGTCTCTCCCCGTGTCTCCCCGTGTCTCTCTCTCCACATGTCTCTCTCCCCGTGTGTCTCTCTCTCCCCGTCTCTCTCCACCGTGTCTCTCTCTCCCCGTGTCTCTCCCTCCCCGTGTCTCTCTCTCCCCGTGTCTCTCTCTCCCCGTGTCTCTCTCTCCCCGTGTCTCTCTCCCCCCGTGTCTCTCTCCCCCCGTGTCTCTCTCCCCCCGTGTCTCTCTCCCCCCGTGTCTCACTCTCCCCGTCTCTCCCGTCTCTCCCCGTGTCTCTCTCTCCCCCATGTCTCTCTCTCTCCGTCTCTCCTGTCTCTCCCCATGTCTCTCTCTCTCACCGTGTCTCTCTCTACGTGTGTCTCTCTCTCCCCGTGTCTCTCTCTCCCCGTCTCTCCCCGTGTCTCTCTCTCCCCGTCTCTCTCCCCGTGTCTCTCTCTCCCCGTGTCTCTCTCTCCCCGTCTCTCCCCGTGTCTCTCTCTCCCCGTCTCTCCCCGTGTCTCTCTCTCTCCCCGTGTCTCTCCCCTGTGTGTCTCTCTCCCGTGTCTCTCTCTCTCCCCGTGTCTCCCCCCTGTGTGTCTCTCTCCCGTGTCTCTCTCTCCCCGTGTCTCTCTCTCCCCGTCTCTCCCCGTGTCTCTCTCCCGTGTCTCTCTCTCCCCGTGTCTCCCCCCTGTGTGTCTCTCTCCCGTGTCTCTCTCTCCCCGTGTCTCTCTCTCCTCGTGTCTCCCCGTGTCTCCCCGTGTCTCTCTCTCCCTGTGTCTCTCCCCCCCGTGTCTCTCTCTCCCCATCTCTCCCCGTCTCTCCCCGTGTCTCTCTCTCCCCGTCTCTCCCCGTGTCTCTCTCTCCCCCGTCTCTCTCTCCCGTGTCTCTCTCTCTCCCCGTGTCTCCCCCCTGTGTGTCTCTCTCCCGTGTCTCTCTCTCCCGTGTCTCTCTCTCCCCGTGTCTCTCTCTCCCCGTGTCTCCCCGTGTCTCTCTCTCTCCTGTGTCTCTCTCCCCCCGTGTCTCCACCCGTGTCTCTCTCTCCCCGTCTCTCCCCGTGTCTCCCCGTGTCTCTCTCTCCCCGTCTCTCCCCGTGTCTCTCTCTCCCCCGTCTCTCTCTCCCGTGTCTCTCTCTCTCCCCGTGTCTCCCCCCTGTGTGTCTCTCTCCCGTGTCTCTCTCTCCCGTGTCTCTCTCTCCCCGTGTCTCTCTCTCCCCGTGTCTCCCCGTGTCTCTCTCTCTCCCCGTGTCTCTCTCTCCCCGTGTCTCTCTCTCCCCGTGTCTCTCTCCCCCGTGTCTCTCTCTCCCCGTGTCTCTCTCCCCCCCGTGTCTCTCTCTCCCCGTGTCTCTCTCCCCGTGTCTCTCTCCCCGTGTCTCTCTCTCCCCGTGTCTCTCTCCCCCGTGTCTCTCTCTCCCCCGTGTCTCTCTCTCCCCGTGTCTCTCTCTCCCCGTGTCTCTCTCTCCCCGTCTCTCCTGTCTCTCCCCATGTCTCTCTCTCTCACCGTGTCTCTCTCTCCGTGTCTCTCTCTCTCCCCATGTCTCTCTCTACCCGTCTCTCCTGTCTCTCCCCGTGTCTCTCTCTCCCCCGTGTCTCTCTCCCCCCCGTGTCTCTCTCCCCGTGTCTGTCCCTCCCCGTGTCTCTCTCTCCCCGTGTCTCTCTCTCCCCGTGTCTCTCTCTCCGTGTGTCTCTCTCTCCCCGTGTCTCTCTCTCCCCGTCTCTCCCCGTGTCTCTCTCTCTCCCCGTCTCTCTCCCCGTGTCTCTCTCTCCCCGTGTCTCTCTCTCCCCGTCTCTCCCCGTGTCTCTCTCTCCCCGTCTCTCCCCGTGTCTCTCTCTCTCCCCGTGTCTCTCCCCTGTGTGTCTCTCCCCGTGTCTCCCCCCTGTGTGTCTCTCTCCCGTGTCTCTCTCTCCCCGTGTCTCTCTCTCCCCGTCTCTCTCTCTCCCCGTCTCTCCCCGTGTCTCTCTCTCCCCCGTGTGTCTCTCTCTCCCCCGTGTGTCTCTCTCTCCCCCGTGTCTCTCTCTCTCCCCGTGTCTCTCTCCCCCCCGTCTCTCCCCGTGTCTCTCTCCCCCCTGTCTCTCTCTCTCCCCTCTCCCCACGGCACCAGACGCCACCACCACCACCACCACCTCCACCACCACCACCACCACCGCTCCACCACCAGCACCACCACCTCCCCGACGCCGCCACCGCCCGCTGATCGACCTCTCCGTGATCCGCCACCGCGGCTTCGTGGTCTATGCGGTGTCGGCCACGCTCATGGTGCTGGGCCTGTTCGTGCCGCCCGTCTTCGTGGTGAGCTACGCCAGGCACCTGGGCACGCCGGACCCCAAGGCGGCGTTCCTCCTCTCCGTCATCGGCCTCGTGGACGTCTTCGCCCGGCCGGCAACGGGCCTCGTCACGGGCGTGGAGCGAGTGCGGCCATACTCCGCCTACCTGCTCAGGTGCAGCACGTGGTGGTGGTGGTGGTGGTGGGTGGTGGTGGTGGGTGGTGGTGGTGGTGGGTGGTGGTGGTGGTGGGTGGGGGGTGGTGGGTGGTGGAGAGACACGGGGAGAGAGAGACATTGGGAGAGCCGGGGAGAGACAGGGGGAGAGAGAGACAGGGGGAGAGAGAGACACGGAGAGAGAGAGACACGGAGAGAGAGAGACACTGAGAGAGAGACACTGAGAGAGATGGAGAGAGAGACACGGGGTGAGAGAGACACTGAGAGAGAGACACTGAGAGAGAGACACGGGGAGAGATGGAGAGAGACACAGAGAGAGAGACACGGGGAGAGATGGAGAGAGACACGGGGAGAGAGACACGAGCCTCCTCACGGGCGTGGAGCGAGTGCGGCCATACTCCGCCTACCTGCTCAGGTGCAGAGGGTGGGGTGGGTGGTGGTGGAGAGACACGGGGAGAGAGACTCTGGGAGAGACGGGGAGAGACACGGGGAGAGAGAGACACTGGGAGAGAGAGACGCGGGGAGAGAGACTCTGGGAGGGACGGGGAGAGACACGGGGAGAGAGAGACACGGGGAGAGAGAGACACGGGGAGAGAGACACACGGAGAGAGAGACACTGAGAGAGAGACACTGAGAGAGAGACACGAGCCTCCTCACGGGCGTGGAGCGAGTGCGGCCATACTCCGCCTACCTGCTCAGGTGCAGCACGTGGTGGTGGGGTGGGTGGTGGAGAGACGCGGGGAGAGAGAGAGACGCGGGGAGAGAGACACGGGGAGAGAGACACGGGGAGAGAGAGACACGGGGAGAGAGACACACGGAGAGAGAGACACGGGGAGAGATGGAGAGAGACACTGAGAGAGAGACACGAGCCTCCTCACGGGCGTGGAGCGAGTGCGGCCATACTCCGCCTACCTGCTCAGGTGCAGCACGTGGTGGTGGGGTGGGTGGTGACGGTGGTGGTGAGATACGGGGAGAGAGAGACATTGGGAGAGAGACGGGGAGAGAGACACGGGGAGAGAGAGACACGGGGAGAGAGAGACACTGGGAGAGAGAGAGACACAGGGAGAGAGAGACACTGGGAGAGATGGAGAGAGACACAGGGAGAGACACGGGGTGAGAGAGAGACACGGGAAGAGAGAGACACTGGGAGAGAGAGACACTGGGAGAGATGGAGAGAGAGACACGGGGTGAGAGAGAGACACGGGGAGAGAGAGACACTGGGAGAGAGAGAGAGACACAGGGAGAGAGAGACACTGGGAGAGATGGAGAGAGACACAGGGAGAGACACGGGGAGAGAGAGACACTGGGAGAGAGAGACACTGGGAGAGATGGAGAGAGACACGGGGAGAGAGAGACACGGGGGAGAGATGGAGAGAGACACGGGGAGAGAGAGACACGGGGGAGAGATGGAGAGAGACACGGGGAGAGAGAGACACTGGGAGAGAGAGACACGGGGAGAGACACGGGGAGAGACACGGGGAGAGAGACACTGAGAGAGATACACTGAGAGAGAGAGACACGGGGAGAGAGAGACACGGGGAGAGAGAGACACGGGGGGAGAGAGACACGGGGAGAGAGAGACACGGGGAGAGAGAGACACGGGGAGAGAGACACGGGGAGAGACTCTCTCACCGTGTCTCAGTCTCCCCGTGTCTCTCTCTCTCCCCGTGTCTCTCTGTCTCCGTGTCTCTCTGTCTCCGTGTCTCTCTGTCTCTCTCTCTCTCCCCGTGTCTCCGTGTCTCTGTCTCCCTGTCCCCGTGTCTCCGCCGAGTAGCTTCGCGATGATCTTCAACGGCACGGCCGACCTCCTGGGCTCCCTGGCCAGCACCTACGCCGGTATAGCCGTGTCTCTCTGTCTCACCGTGTCTCTCTCTCCCCGTGTCTCTCTGTCTCTCTCTCTCCGTGTCTCTGTCTCCCTGTCCCCGTGTCTCCGCCAAGTAGCTTCGCGATGATCTTCAATGGCACGGCCGACCTCCTGGGCTCCCTGGCCAGCACCTACGCCGTGTCTCTGTCTCTCTGTCTCACCGTGTCTCTGTCTCCCTGTCCCCGTGTCCCCGTGTCTCCCCGTGTCTCCGCCGAGTAGCTTCGCGATGATCTTCAACGGCACGGCCGACCTCCTGGGCTCCCTGGCCAGCACCTACGCCGTGTCTCTGTCTCTCTGTCTCACCGTGTCTCTCTCACCGTGTCTCTCTCTCACCGTGTCTCTCTGTCTCCCTGTCCCCGTGTCCCCGTGTCTCTGTCTCCCCGTGTCTCCGCCGAGTAGCTTCGCGATGATCTTCAACGGCACGGCCGACCTCCTGGGCTCCCTGGCCAGCACCTACGCCGTGTCTCTGTCTCTCTGTCTCACCGTGTCTCTCTCACCGTGTCTCTCTCTCACCGTGTCTCTCTGTCTCCCTGTCCCCGTGTCCCCGTGTCTCTGTCTCCCCGTGTCTCCGCCGAGTAGCTTCGCGATGATCTTCAACGGCACGGCCGACCTCCTGGGCTCCCTGGCCAGCACCTACGCCGTGTCTCTGTCTCTCTGTCTCACCGTGTCTCTGTCTCCCTGTCCCCGTGTCCCCGTGTCTCCCCGTGTCTCCGCCGAGTAGCTTCGCGATGATCTTCAACGGCACGGCCGACCTCCTGGGCTCCCTGGCCAGCACCTACACCGGTATAGCCGTGTCTCTGTCTCACCGTGTCTCTCTGTCTCACCGTGTTTCTCTCTCCCCGTGTCTCCGTGTCTCTGTCCCCGTGTCTCTCCGTGTCTCCGCCGAGTAGCTTCGCGATGATCTTCAACGGCACGGCCGACCTCCTGGGCTCCCTGGCCAGCACCTACGCCGGTATAGCCGTGTCTCTGTCTCACCGTGTCTCTCTCTCCCCGTGTCTCCGTGTCTCTGTCTCCCTGTCCCCGTGTCTCCGCCGAGTAGCTTCGCGATGATCTTCAACGGCACGGCCGACCTCCTGGGCTCCCTGGCCAGCACCTACACCGGTATAGCCGTGTCTCTGTCTCACCGTGTCTCTCTCTCCCCGTGTCTCCGTGTCTCTGTCTCCCTGTCCCCGTGTCTCCGCCGAGTAGCTTCGCGATGATCTTCAACGGCACGGCCGACCTCCTGGGCTCCCTGGCCAGCACCTACGCCGGTATAGCCGTGTCTCTCTCCCCGTGTCTCTCTCTCCCCGTGTCTCTCTCACCGTGTCTCTCTCTCCCCGTGTCTCCGTGTCTCTCTCTCTCCGCCGAGTAGCTTCGCGATGATCTTCAACGGCACGGCCGACCTCCTGGGCTCCCTGGCCAGCACCTACGCCGTGTCTCTGTCTCTCTGTCTCACCGTGTCTCTGTCTCCCTGTCCCCGTGTCTCCGCCGAGTAGCTTCGCGATGATCTTCAACGGCACGGCCGACCTCCTGGGCTCCCTGGCCAGCACCTACGCCGGTATCGCCGTCTTCTGTGTCTTCTTCGGCATCTCGTACGGGATGGTGGGCGCTCTGCAGTTCGAGGTGCTCATGGGGCTGACGGGGCCGGAGACATTCCCCTCGGCACTCGGACTCGTCCTCCTGATGGAGGCCGGAGCCGTACTCGTCGGACCTCCTGGAGCGGGTGAGGGGTGGTGGTGGTGGTGTGGGGTGGTGACGGTGGTGGTGGTGGTGGTGGTGGGTGGTGACGGTGGTGGTGGTGGTGGTGGGGGTGGTAGTGGTAGTAGTGGTAGTGGTAGTAGTAGTTGTAGTTGTGGTGGTAGTAGTAGTGGTAGTAGTGGTGGTAGTAGTGGTAGTAGTAGTAGTGGTGGTAGTGGTAGTAGTAGTAGTGGTGGTAGTGGTAGTAGTAGTGTGGTAGTAGTAGTAGTGTTAGTAGTAGTGGTAGTAGTAGTGGTGGTAGTAGTGGTAGTAGTAGTGGTAGTAGTAGTGGTAGTAGTGGTAGTAGTAGTAGTAGTGTTAGTAGTAGTGGTAGTAGTAGTGGTAGTAGTGGTAGTGGTAGTAGTAGTAGTAGTGGTAGTAGTAGTGTGGTAGTAGTAGTGGTAGTAGTAGTGGTAGTAGTAGTAGTGGTAGTAGTGGTAGTAGTAGTGGTAGTAGTAGTAGTGGTAGTAGTAGTGGTAGTAGTGGTAGTAATAGTAGTGGTAGTAGTAGTAGTGGTAGTAGTAGTGGTAGTAGTAGTGTTAGTAGTAGTAGTGGTAGTAGTAGTAGTGGTAGTAGTGGTTGTAGTAGTGGTAGTAGTAGTAGTGGTAGTAGTAGTGGTAGTAGTAGTAGTGGTAGTAGTAGTAGTGGTAGTAGTAGTGGTAGTAGTAGTGGTAGTAGTAGTAGTGTTAGTAGTAGTGGTAGTAGTAGTGGTAGTAGTAGTAGTGGTAGTAGTAGCAGTAGTGGTAGTAGTAGTAGTGGTAGTAGTAGTAGTAGTGGTAGTAGTAGTAGTGGTAGTAGTAGTGGTAGTAGTAGTAGTGGTAGTAGTAGTAGTGGTAGTAGTAGTAGTGGTAGTAGTGGTAGTAGTAGTGGTAGTAGTAGTAGTAGTAGTGGTAGTAGTAGTGGTAGTGGTAGTAGTAGTGGTAGTGGTGGTAGTAGTGGTAGTGGTGGTAGTAGTGGTAGTGATGGTAGTAGTGGTAGTAGTGGTAGTAGTAGTAGTGGTAGTAGTAGTAGTGGTAGTAGTAGTAGTGGTAGTAGTAGTGGTAGTGGTGGTAGTAGTGGTAGTGGTAGTGGTGGTAGTAGTGATGGTAGTAGTGGTAGTAGTAGTAGTGGTAGTAGTAGTAGTGGTAGTAGTAGTAGTAGTGGTAGTAGTAGTGGTGGTGGTAGTAGTAGTAGTAGTGTTAGTAGTAGTAGTGGTAGTAGTGGTAGTAGTAGTGGTAGTAGTAGTGGTAGTAGTGATGGTAGTAATAGTAGTAGTGGTAGTAGTAGTGGTAGTGATGATAGTGATAGTAGTAGTGGTAGTAGTAGTAGTGATGGTAGTGGTGCTAGTAGTGGTAGTAGTGGTAGTAGTAGTGGTAGTAGTAGTGGTAGTAGTGGTAGTAGTAGTGATGGTAGTAGTAGTGGTAGTGATGATAGTGATGGTAGTAGTAGTGGTAGTAGTGGTAGTGATGATAGTGATGGTAGTAGTAGTGGTAGTAGTAGTAGTGGTAGTGATGATAGTGATGGTAGTAGTAGTGGTAGTAGTAGTAGTGGTAGTAGTAGTAGTGGTAGTAGTAGTAGTGATGGTAGTGGTAGTAGTGGTAGTAGTGATGGTAGTAGTAGTGGTGGTAGTGATGGTAGTAGTAGTGATGGTAGTGATGATAGTGATGGTAGTGATGGTAGTAGTAGTGGTAGTGTTAGTAGTAGTGGTAGTAGTAGTGATGGTAGTGATGGTAGTGTTAGTAGTAGTAGTGTTAGTAGTGGTAGTGATGGTAGTAGTGATGATAGTGATGGTAGTGATGGTAGTGATATCATCTCAACACCTGACCACAATCCCATCACCGGTGACCACCCACCTTCCCCCCACCTTCCCCCCACCTTCCCCCCACCTTCCCCCCACCTTCCCCCCACCAGGTCGCCTGGTGGACTACACCCACAGCTACGTGTACATCTTCTACCTGGCAGGCGCCGAGGTGCTCTTGGCCGGCCTCGTCCTAGCCCTGGGGGCTCTTCTGTGCCTCAGGGGCAACCACAACCACCAGCACGACCACGCCCACCAACACGTGGGCGGGGCAGCAGCGGCGGTGGGCGGGGCAACGGCGGGGGCGACCAATGGGCAGGGAGACACGGAGACGCGCGTGTGACGTAGGGGGGGGGGGTGTGTGGGGGGGGGTGTGGGGGTCTGACTAGCCACTCAGCTACCCACTCAGCTACTCACTCAGCTACTCACTCACCTACTCACTCAGCTACTCACTCAGCTACTCACTCAGCTACTCACTCACTCAGCTACTCACTCACCTACTCACTCACCTACTCACTCACTCAGCTACTCACTCACTCAGCTACTCACTCACTCACCTACACACTCACCTACTCACTCACTCAGCTACTCACTCACTCAGCTACTCACTCAGCTACTCACTCAGCTACTCACTCACTCAGCTACTCACTCACTCAGCTACTCACTCAGCTACTCACTCACTCAGCTACCCACTCAGCTACTCACTCAGCTACTCACTCAGCTACTCACTCACTCAGCTACTCACTCAGCTACTCAGCTACTAACTCAGCTACTCACTCAGCTACTCACTCAGCTACTCACTCAGCTACTCACTCACTCACCTACTCACCTACTCACTCACTCACCTACCCACTCACCTACTCACTCAGCTACTCACTCAGCTACTCACTCACTCAGCTACTCACTCAGCTACTCACTCAGCTACTCACTCACCTAATCACTCACTCACCTACTCACCTACTCACTCACTCACCTACCCACTCACCTACTCACTCAGCTACTCACTCACTCAGCTACTCACTCACTCACCTACTCACCTACTCACTCACTCACCTACCCACTCACCTACTCACTCAGCTACTCACTCAGCTACTCACTCACTCAGCTACTCACTCAGCTACTCACTCAGCTACTCACTCAGCTACTCACTCACCTAATCACTCACTCACCTACTCACCTACTCACTCACTCACCTACCCACTCACCTACTCACTCAGCTACTCACTCACTCAGCTACTCACTCACTCACCTACTCACCTACTCACTCACTCACCTACCCACTCACCTACTCACTCAGCTACTCACTCACTCAGCTACTCACTCAGCTACTCACTCACTCACCTACTCACTCAGCTACTCACTCACCTACTCACTCACCAACCTGCTCACCTACTCACTCACCAACCTGCTCACTCACTCACCTACACACTCAGCTACTCACTCAGCTACTCACTCACCTACTCACTCACCAACCTGCTCACCTACTCACTCACTCACTCACCTACTCACTCACCTACTCACTCAGCTACTCACTCAGCTACTCACTCAGCTACTCACTCACCAACCTGCTCACCTACTCACTCACTCACTCACCTACTCACTCACCTACTCACTCAGCTACTCACTCAGCTACTCACTCAGCTACTCACTCACTCAGCTACTCACTCACCTACTCACTCAGCTACTCACTCACTCACTCACCAACCTACTCACTCACTCACTCAGCTACTCACTCAGCTACTCACTCAGCTACTCACTCAGCTACTCACTCAGCTACTCACTCACCAACCTGCTCACCTACTCACTCACTCACCTACTCACCTACTCACTCACCTACTCACTCACTCACCTACTCACTCACTCACCTACTCACTCACCTACTCACTCACCTACTCACTCACCTACTCACTCGCCTACTCACTCACTCACTCGCCTACTCACTCAGCTACTCACTCACCAACCTACTCACTCACTCACCTACACACTCACCTACTCACTCACTCACTCACCCACTCAGCTAAACACTCACCTACTCACTCACTCACCTACCCACTCAGCTACACACTCACTCACCTACCCACTCAGCTACACACTCACTCACCTACTCACTCACTCACCCACTCAGCTACTCACTCACTCACCTACTCACCTACTCACTCACCTGCTCACCTACCCACTCAGCTACTCACTCACCAACCTGCTCACCTACTCACTCACCTACTCACTCACCAACCTGCTCACCTACTCACTCACCTACTCACTCATTCACCTACTCACTCACCTACTCACTCACTCACCTACCCACTCAGCTACACACTCACTCACCTACTCACTCACTCACCCACTCAGCTACTCACTCACCTACTCACTCACTCACTCACCTACTCACCTACCCACTCAGCTACTCACTCACCTACTCACTCACCAATCTGCTCACCTACTCACTCACCTACACACTCACCTACTCACTCACCTACTCACTCACCCACTCAGCTACTCACTCAGCTACTCACTCACCTACTCACTCACCTACTCACCTACTCACTCACCTACCTGCCTACCCACTCACCTACTCACTCACCTACCTGCTCACCCGCTCACCCATTCACCTACCTGCTCACCCACTCACCTACCTGCTCACCCACTCACTCACCCACTCACTCACCCACTCACCCACCCAATCACTCACCCACTCATTCACTCATTCACCCACTCACTCACTCACTCACCCACTCACTCACTCACCCACTCACTCACCCACTCACTCACCCACTCACTCACCCATCCACCCACTCACTCACGCACTGTGTGTGTGAGTGGGGAGCGGTGGTGCAGTGGTTAGCGCACTGTGTGTGAGTGGGGAGTGGTGGTGCAGTGGTTAGCGCACTGTGTGTGTGTGTGGGGAGTGGTGGTGCAGTGGTTAGCGCACTCGGTGTGTGTGTGTGGGGAGTGGTGGTGCAGTGGTTAGCGCACTCGGTGTGTGTGTGTGGGGAGTTGTGGTGCAGTGGTTAGCGCACTGTGTAAGTGTGGGCAGTGGTGGTCACGTGGAAGGGAGAGACAAAGGCGGCCGGGCGTGGTGCTGTATGTAGCCACAGTGCCGGTAGCCTTCATAGGTGCAGCACTTGCCCCTACAGCCCTGCTAGAGGCTACCTGGGGGAGCTTTGTCTGTGTGTCTAACACAGCACTTGCCCCTACAGCCCTGCTAGAGGCTACCTGGGGGAGCTTTGTCTGTGTGTCTAACACAGCACTTGCGCTTACAGCCCCCTGCTAGAGGCTACCTGGGGGAGCTTTGTCTGTGTGTCTAACACAGCACTTGCCCCTACAGCCCTGCTAGAGGCTACCTGGGGGAGCTTTGTCTCTTCATGGAAGTCGAAAATTAAAGTCGCCACCCAAACTGCTAACCGAGCCGTGTCGATTTGTGAACAACACCACCATCATCATCATCACCATCACCACCACCATCATCACCACCACCACCACCATCATCACCACCAACCACCATCACCACCACCATCACCACCATCACCATCATCACCACCACCATCATCACCACCATCATCACCATCATCACCACCATCATCACCATCACCACCACCACCACCATCATCACCACCACCACCACCATCATCACCACCAACCACCATCACCACCACCATCACCACCATCACCATCATCACCACCACCATCATCACCACCATCATCACCATCATCACCACCATCATCACCATCACCACCATCACCATCATCACCACCATCACCACCATCATCACCATCATCACCACCACCACCATCACCACCATCACCACCACCATCACCACCATCACCACCATCATCACCACCATCATCACCACCATCATCATCACCACCATCACCACCATCACCATCACCACCATCACCACCATCACCACCTTCACCATCACCACCATCACCACCATCACCACCAGTACCAGCACCATCACCACCATCACCACCACCATCATCACCATCATCACCATCACCATCATCACCACCGCCACCATCACCACCACCATCACCACCACCATCACCACCATCATCACCATCACCACCATCACCACCATCACCACCACCATCACCACCATCACCACCACCTTCACCACCATCACCATCACCACCATCACCATCATCACCATCATCACCACCACCATCATCACCACCACCACCATCACCACCATCATCACCACCATCATCACCACCACCACCATCATCACCACCATCATCACCACCACCACCATCATCACCATCACCACCATCATCACCACCACCATCACCACCATCATCACCACCATCATCACCACCATCATCACCATCACCACCATCATCATCACCACCACCATCATCACCATCATCACCACCATCATCACCATCACCACCATCACCACCATCATCACCACCATCACCACCAGCACCATCACCACCATCACCACCATCACCACCACCATCACCACCATCATCATCACCATCACCACCATCACCACCTTCACCATCACCACCATCACCACCATCACCACCACCATCACCACCATCACCACCAGCACCATCACCACCATCACCACCATCACCAACATCACCACCATCACCACCTTCACCATCACCACCATCACCACCACCATCACCACCACCACCATCACCACCAGCACCAGCACCATCACCACCATCACCACCATCACCACCACCATCACCACCACCATCACCACCACCATCATCACCATCACCACCATCACCACCACCATCACCACCATCACCACCACCATCACCACCACCTTCACCACCATCACCACCACCTTCACCACCATCACCACCACCATCACCACCATCACCACCATCACCACCACCACCACCACCTTCACCACCATCAGCACCATCACCACCACCATCACCACCATCACCACCATCACCACCAACACCATCACCACCATTACCACCACCACCTTCACCACCATCACCACCATCACCACCATCACCACGACCACCATCACCACCACCACCACCATCATCACCACCACCATCATCACCACCACCACCTTCACCACCATCACCACCACCATCACCACCACGACCACCATCACCATCACCACAACCATCACCACCACCATCACCACCATCACCACCACCATCACCAGAAGAATCACCACCACCATAACCATCACCACCACGATCCCCACCACCATCACCACCATCAACACAACCATCACCACAACCATCACCACCATCACCACCACCATCCCCACAACCATCACCACCACCATCACCACCATCAAAAACAACCGCCATTCACCACTAAGTGGCGGTGACGTCACCACGACGCTTGTGCCAGGCCATGTGCACCTTGAGGCCACGTGAAGTGTCGAACGCCCGCTGGCAGGTCACGGGGCAGACCCAGGTGCCACGGGTCGACTGACTGAGATGGCTGGCTGATGCACCACCTGTGTTCCCTACTGTGCCAACCTGCTGTGCTTTAGCCACCCGACGCTCCGCTCGTTGTTGTGAGCGTCGCTCCTCCGCCCTCCGTTGTTGTTGGAGGGCGACTGCCTCCAACTGCCCAGTAGCGTCCTTCACGAGCCTCCTCCACAGAGGCCGATCTTGACACCGCTGGTACCGGTCATCAGCAAGTCCACTCAGCTCCACATCCTCCTGTACCACATCACTCCATCTCTTCTCTAGCCTGTGCCGCGCCCGTTTAGCCCCCTCGATCCAGCCGAACAAAAGCTGTTTCGGCATGCGGTGGCTGGGCATGCGGGCTACATGACCCAGCCAACGCAGCCTTGCCTGCCGGAGGAGCTCACCGATGAGACCGTGCCCAGATCTTTAAAGGATTTGTGAAGGGAGGGAATGACCGTGGCCGAGAAGACCTGAAGCTTAGTGCAGAGCGACACACCAGGTAGATTCCACGCAGCGTTACGCAACCGATGAAAAGATATTGCCGCTCGACTGATTCGGAGCGAGACCTCTGCTGTTAAACTGGAGCCGGTCATAAGCACACTGCCCAGGTATGGGAAACTCTCCACACTCTCCACAACTGCCCAATCACCGAATGTGGGGGTGGAGTGCCCGATGGTACAAAATACCCAGGCAGGTGCTTAGTTTTGGTGGGGCTGATGGTAAGGCCCCATCTCTTAGTTGCACACTCCAGTCTCAGCAGCAGCGTCTCCAACTCCTCCTCTGAATGAGCAGCTATTACCAAATCATCGGCATACATAACGTGGTTGAGCAATAGGGAGCCATCCCTTGACCGCACCCGGACATCGATCAGCCTCCCATTGTATCTGTACCAGATGGAAATTCCTTCGGTACAGCTATTGAAGGCTTCACGAACTACGTGGTCGAAATAGATGTTAAATAATGTGGGAGCCAGAGGATATCCCTGTCGCACCCCGAGGTGTACAGGGAATGCCTCTGACTCCCGGCCACGTAGTTTTACCCGGGCCCGCTCACCATCATGAAGGTCCTTAATGATCGTGAGCAGAGGGTCAGGGACTCCGAAAGCACGAAGAACGACCCAGAGCCCAGGCCTACTGATGGTATCATAGGCCTTGACCAGGTCAATAAAGCAGAGATGTAGGTCTTGCTGGAATTCCCTACACCTCTGCTGTAGCAGACGTACAGAAAATATGGCATCTGTGCAGGACCGCCCTTTCCTGAAACCGCATTGGGGCTCCGCAAGCCTCTCCTCAGCGTGCCTAGCAAGGCGATTTTGAATAATCCTTGCCAGGACCTTTCCCGGCACATTGAGGCGTGAGATGCCCCTGTAGTTGTTACAGTCTGTGCGGTCCCCCTTCTTAAAGAGAGGGACCACCAGGGCATCCTTCCAGTCCTGCGGAACCCGTCCAGCGGTCCAAACTGTTGTTATGATGTCATGTAGGGCAGTCTGTGCACAAACGCCACCCTCCCTCGGCATTTCGCTTGGGATATCACCTCTGCCCGGTGCCTTTCCTGGTCTCAGACTCTGGATCGCCTTTAGTATTTCCTCAACAGATGGCACCTCAGCCAGCCACTCACAGGGGGTGACTTCTTCCAATATTTGAGGCACCGCAGCCTCAGCAGGGTCATCCTCACTTTGTGCCACGATGTTTTCCATGTCGAGGGATTTCCCCTCCCCCAGGACTGCAAACCTGTTCCTGGGGGTCGGAGATTGGATCACCGTTTTTTCCCCTAATGATGGTAATAGGTGTGGCGCTGCAGGTTACTTTTTTGACGGAGTTAAATAGAGATTTGTGATTGCGGGCCATTGAGGCAGACTCCATCTCCTCAGCAACCCGCGACCACCACCCATCCTTGCAGCGCCTCACGGCTCTCTGAACCTCCGAGCGAAGGCCGCGGTAAGCCTCCTCATTCTCTGACGTGGGATGCTCTAGACGATTAGAGTGGGCCTGTCGATTTTTCTCAACCATCCTGAACACCTCCTCTGTCAACCAGGGTCTCTGGGGAGGTCTGGACCGCGTACTCAAAGCAGGCATTGTAGCTGCATGAGTCACAGTCCTAAACCTCGCCCATTTACCCTCGACATCAGGAGGAGTGGAATGGGGTCCTGGGTGTACACCCACCACCGGAGTGGAAGAATGGCAGGCGCATCTTACAGATGACAAGTCGATGGTCAGAGGGCAGATCAGCTCCACGGTAGGTCCTGGTGTCAAGGACATGGGCTCGCATCCACTGGTCCGTCACTATGTAGTCCAGCAGATGTTCTTGCTTGGACCCGGCATGCATCCATGATGTTGTGTGGATGCGCCGATGCCGGAACAGCGTGTTGGTAATTACAAGCCCATGGTCTGCAAAAAAATCTAGCAGCCTCCTACCGTTGTTATTGAGCTGATCTGGCCCATGCCTTCCAATCATTCCAGACCAGGTGCCAGCATCATGACCAACTTGGGCATTGAAGTCACCCAACAAGATGACTCTATCCTGAGGGGTCACTTTAGCCAGCACCTGTGACAGGAGGTCATAGAAGGCATCCGACTCATCGGCTTTGCCTGCATCCCTCCATGGATGTTCGTCTTCGGTGGGGGCATAAGTAACCACGACTACCACTCCTCGCCTCCAGTTGATGGGAAGGCGAGCCCAAAGTAGCCTGGGGCTTACAGCTTCCCACACCTCACCGCCACGCTCCCACGCCCCCTTCATTCTTTGATTCAAAAGAAGAGCCACACCCTGTTGTTTGGCAGTCTGCTGCCCCGAGTAGAGGACTGTCCACCCCTCATGGTGGCAGGAGCCAGAGCCGGTCCACCGGAAATCCTGAATGCCACAGAGATCCAGGCGGTACCGGTCCAGCTCCCGACAGAGGAGTGGCAGCCTCTCCTCTGCAGTGAGCGTTCGAACATTCCACGTGGCCACCCGTAGTGGCTTTTCATTGTTTCTGGAGGAGCCCCGAGGGTAGAGATTCAATCTCCTGGCTCCGCCAATTGGGGTTTTAGCAGGAGACGTCATAGACGCCTGGCCCCCCGGGGCCTCCGGCACAAGCTTATTAGTTACATATTTCAGTTTAACTCGTGGTTTAGTGGTAATTAATTGAAGGTGGAGGGGTTACCAGCCCCTCGCACCCGTCCAGAGCCCCCGTTTAGCCCCTGTGGTGGTCACAGACGCCCTGAGGGGAGAGGACAATCGGAATTGGCCCTCCCCCCACAGCACTGTCCACGACAGAGTTGCCCGTCCGGCACCACGGTGAGGTAGGGGGTTGTTTTTGCCACACACACACCCAGACACACACACACAGACACTCACACAGACACACACACACAGCCACACACAGCCACACACACAGAGAGACAGACACAGACACGTGCATACATCACCACCACCATCACTACTGTC